TGTGGCCCCAGGATATTAGAGGGTTTTCATATCTCTCCTTGCCCAAATTTCTCATCCTCTGTATAACTTGATAAAGAAGGGTATTATATAATACGCAACAGAAAGGCTCAAAAGGCTTTGGGGCAGGCTCCAATCCTTAGAAAGCAATCTAAAATGCTGTATGTCCCATTATCCTAGTGTCACTTTGTTATAAATCACTAGAAGTTCAGAAGGATATAGATGGGAGCTAAGGCAAAAACAACCTGAGCAAATAATTCCAATAGGGCAGTGGGTCTCAACCTTCCTAATGCTCTTACCCTTTATTACAGTCCCTCATGTTGTGGTAACCCCCAACCATAAAATTATTTTTGTTGCTACTTCATAATTATAATTTTGCTACTGTTATGAATCATAATGTAAAAATTTGTTTTCTAGTGGTCCTCTAAACGTTGTGCTCATAGATTACTGTTACTCTCAGCCACAACTCATCAATGGAAATATACTTCCTTGAGGTGTGTCACAGAGATTCATACCACAGAAGCTTTTAGAAACTTCTGTGGCTTTGTGAGCCAATGCTAAACTATAAGTGGATATCTAGATCATGCCCTCCAAGGCTCAGGGAACACTGTGGAAGAGGGGATCAGAGAGAATGGAACAGCTGAGAAAGGGGTGGAGTGGTATATAGCTATTTTCCCCCCATTTAAACATTCACTCCAAGAGGGAAATGAGAGGCTCATGAAATTCAGGAGGTAAACCAATTTCACACAACAAGGAATGCTGAAACTTCCAAGATTTAGGAAAGACTCTCTTCATAGTTGTAGAAGTAGTAAACTGCTAGGGGAGAACAGCTGGATTTGAGTCATTTCCCATCCTGTAACCCCTCACCCTTATTCGTTAGTAACTCCAATAAACACTTCTTGGTTGACCAAATTGGACTTTGATGCAATCATTATTTTGATATATTGCAGGTTTCCTTTCTAGGGTGAGTGTGTGGGGGGTGGGTAATCTTTCCAGGAAAAGTCTCTTATACATCACTCTGGTCCTCGGTAGTTAATTCTACCAAGTTGGGTATTACTGCTTTGCTACACAGAGGGAGGACACATAAAAGTGTAACAACAGCATAAAACACTACCATGCCAAACTGTTGCTGTGGCATTCTTGATTTTTAGATTCACTACTTGAAGTCTGTACTGGCTGGTTTTGTGTGTCAACTTGACACAAAATACAGTCATCAGAGAGGAAGGAGCCTCAGTTGAGAAAATGCTTCCATGAGATCCAGCTCTAAGGCATTTTCTCAATTAGTGATCAATGGGAGAGGGCCCAGCCCATGGTGGGTGGTACCATTCCTGGGCTGGTGGTCTTGGGTTCTATAAGAAAACAGGCTGAGCAAGCCATAGGAAGCAAGCCAGTAAGCAGCTCCCTTTCATGACCTCTACATCCACTCCTGCTCCAGGATCCTGCCCTATTTGGATTCTTGTCCTGACTTCCTTCAGTGATAAATAGCAATGCTGAAGTGTAAGCCAAATAAACCCTTTCTTTCCCAACTTGCTTTTTGGTCATTGTGTTTTGTTGCAGCAATAGAAACCCTAAGACAATCTTCTAGGATTATTTTCTCAATTTGAGTGACTACTTAGATGGTCTCCTGTTCAAATCAAGATTATTTCCAGAAATTTATTATTTTCCCAGTCATCATGCCATTACTGAGGGACTAGGTTAGTTATCTCAAAGTAGGTTCATCTCATGATTGAAAAGAATTAAGTTTATTGATTTCTCTTTCTTGCTCTAAAATGTGCACGATATCATTTTGCTACATTACAATATATCTTAAAGGCCCTGGTCAGATCCTGGTGTCATGCTCTTGGATTTTCCAGCCTCCAAACCATGTACCAAATAAATGTCTATCATTTATAAATTATCCAGTCTGTGTTACTCTGTTTTTACCACAGAAATGGACTAAAGCAAAGACACTATGCTCAATGAAAGAAACTAAAAGCAAAAAGCTAGCCAGGCGGTGGTGGCACATACCTTTAATCCCAGCACTCGGGAGGCAGAGCCAGGAGGATCTCTGTGAGTTTGAGGCCAGCCTGGTCTACAGAGTGAGATCCAGGACAGGCACCAAAGCTACACAGAGAAACCCTATCTCAGAAAAACAAACAAAAAGCTAGTATGTGATTCTACTTTTATGAAATATTCACAATAAGCAAATCCATAGCGACAGCAAAAAAGTATGTGGTAGCTAGGATTTGGGTTCAGGGAGGGGTGGAAAATGGTTGTTTAATGGCTGAGGGATTTTGTCTTGGGTGATGAAGATGGTCTGGAACTAGATAGTAAAAATGTTTGTGCAGTATTTTGGATGCATAAAATGGCACTGAATTGCATATGTTAAAATGGATAACATAGTAAATTTTACATTATATGTGTTATTTCAAATAAAAAAAGTTTGCCATTTCCCCCAGGCACCCTCATTAGAGTGGCTTCATCTTTAAACCCTGCATAATAATCCCTGGCTCTCTACCATGGTGCTCAGGGAAGTCAGGGCCAGCTAGAAATCCAACTTCTTTTTTAAAGCCATCAGATTTTTGGATGATTATCCTAAATACTTCATTGTGGGAGCAGTTGATGTGGACCCCAAGCAGATGTGGAGGGATGACTGTGGTGCTCATAGGCAAAAACACCATGATACACAAGGCCATCCACAGGCATTTGGAAAATAACCCAACTCTGGAAAAACTGTTGCTTCATATCCAGGGGGATATGGGCTTTGTGTTCACCAAGGAGACACTAGCTGCTGACTCTGAGATAGTACCACTGTGAAGTCATTTTTCCAGCCTAGAACAATGATCTAGAGCCCAAGAGAGATTTCTAGGTTTTGGGCCTCATCACTGAAATCTCCAGGGGTACCACTGAAATTCTGAGTGATGTATAGCTTATAAAGACTGGAGATAAAGTGGGAGCCAGCAAAGCCACCCTACTGAACATGTTCAACATCGTCCCCTTCTTGGGGGGGGGCTGATTATACAGCAGGTGTTCAACAACAATGACATCTATAATTCCAAAGTGCTTTACATCAACAATCTATCCCTTCATTCTCATTTCCTGGAAGGCACCCATAAATGTTGCCAGTGTTTGTCTGAACATTATGGGACTGTTGTTTCAGTGCCCCATTCTATAATCATTGGACACAGTGAGTCCTGACTGTGAAGATTGAGTATACCTTCTCACTTACTGAAAAGGTCAAGGTCGTCTTGTCTGATCCATCTGCATTTGTGGCTCTTTTCACTGTGGTACTGCCACTACCACCACCTCTGCTGTTGCTGCTGCTGTAGTCCCAGCCAAGGTTGAAGACAAGAGCTAGAGGAAGTATATAAGGATATAGGACTTGGTCTCTAATCATCAAAAAACAACCAACTCATGTGACTTTATGTGAGAAACAAGGGAATAAAGGCTCACATGCCTTTAAATGTTTCTTTGGGTTTTGTGGGGAGCGGGGATCAAACCCAAGGCTCTTTACATGGTAGGAATGTGCTTGGCCACTGAGTTATGTCCCCAGCCCCCATGCCCATAGATTTCATATGAGGTAGAAAATGTGAATACTGGTCATGAAGCAGAGTTAACCTTAAGTTAAATGTGCAACTGAAATGGGGGTGAATTAGAAAGACTGGCAGAGTGGGGAGGAGTGAAAATCATAAGGGTACAGTAAGGTTAAATTCAGTCAAAAGTGTCAATTTGAGTCTTGTGCTCCTGGAAAACAGGGATGACTATGAAGCTCCATGCCTTTGTTTTTGTGTTCCAACAAGAGATTAACTGTACAGGTCCCTGTCTTTTCCAGCTCTGGCTGCCTTAACAAAATACCAGCTTAAACATCAGGAATTTGCTTTCTCACAGTTCTGGGGGCTGGAAAAGGCAAGATCAAAGTCAGTTGATTTGGTTTGGGGCAAGGATCATCGTGCTTGCTTGCAAGACAGCTGCTTATTACTGTATCCTCAAATGACTTAATTTTTGTGCAAATGAAAAGTAAGCTCTTCAGTGGCTTTTATGGGGACACCCTAATAACATTATCTAACTCTAATTACTCCCTAAAGACCTCATCTCTGAATAATATTGCACTGAGGGTTAAGGTTTCAACACCTTAATCTTTGGAGGGTACACAAATCCATAGCACTCCCCAGAGCTTTTTCCATATTCTGAAATAAGACCCAAGTCCATCAATTCCCATGACTCAAGGATGATTGCTTTGTTAATGTGTCTCTATAAAAACTCTAACCCTTCTTCCTTGTCTTTAATATATTCCTCATTAATAAAAGTTTTCCCTGTTGTAATAACCACTAAAAAAATCACCTCCTTCGTTATCCCTTGCATGATACAATAGTGTGTCTGAAGTCCAGAACTGGAACAGTCTCCTGTTGGTTCCTCTAGGACTCTAGCAGACCCTGAGAGGTGTTCCACAGGAACTCAGGTCTCAGAGTCTGACATATGCACTTTCCCAAATCTCTGCTACAAGTTCCCAGGAATGTGGTCATGCAGGGGTGAGGGGGAACGGACTCACTGTCAGGACTTTGTGGATTCTCCCCTAGTCCCTTAAGACACAACATCGTTAGGGTCCCTCCCTTTCTTTCTGTCTCTGACTCTCCCTGCCTCTGTGCTTACCGGTGTCACTTTCTTTTCCGTATTTCTTTCTCTGAGCACAGAATAATACCCGGACTTGCCCACATTGACATCCTGGTATTTCCCACAGGGGATCATACCAATTTGAGTCTTCTTCACAGCTAGCCTAATAGTACTTACTTCTCTAGTCATATTTCCTCAAAGACCCACCAACTCCATGATTTCTCCACATCTCCACAGTGGTGATTATCTTTAGAGGAACACATTGTTCTCTGCTCTGATTCCCTTTTACCCCGAATACCAGGAAAGGTGGTGGCGTTCCAGCTATTCCCCCATCTCCGCAGTGGTATCTCCCTGCTGAGGGTGGGGGGTGGGGAAGCGGAGGCAGGGCCTGTAGCCCTCAGCTCTAAAAGCCACACGTTATTAGTCTGCCTTTGTACAAAAGTCTAATCTTATTGCCAAGTGTTCAAATTCCTCACAAAATCTCATCTCTTCTAAACATTAAGAGGCAGATTTTTCTCCACTGTACGGAATGGCAAAGGCTATAAAGATGTCTGCTCCCTTGAAAACATGGCTTATTGGCGCATCCATTTTTCTTGCCTGCAAATTCGATCCTTGTGGTAATCAAAATATTTAGGACTGCTAGCGCTGAGGGCTTCAGGAAGGGCTGGCTACTGCGCATGAGCAAGTTTAGTGACTGACAGTAACCAAGGCGGGGTAAAGGACTAAAAAGTGGCCGTCACAGGAAGTTATGACTGATTTGGGAAACATTAAAGAGACTTTGCCGGCATAAGAATTCAGATTTTAAGATTGGAGAAGGGAGTGAAGGAGAGCGGAGTTCACTCAAAGCGGAAGTGGGAGGGCTGGTATTCAGGCAGGCCAAGTGAGACAGGCTAGTGTAGACTCCGCAAAGATGCGAATTTACTGGGTGAGTACTTGGGGAGGGGCTCAAATACGAGTATTGAGAATCTGGGCAGGGGGCTGCAAGCAGTGTGATGGAGATACATTGAATGAGTGAGAGGGTCTGTGGAGGCTTTGACCGAGGCGGGCTGTGGAATGAATGATGGGAATATGTGGGGTTTGTGATGATCAGGCTGTAGAGTGAGTGATAGGGTCAGTAGTGTAAGTGATGTGGGGCTCTGTGGGATATACGATTGGAGGTTTTAAGTCGACGTTGGGGAATCTGTGATAAATATACAGTGGCCTATGAAGTCCATCACAGATCTGTATTGTTGGATGATGGGGACCCATGGGGGAAAACAAATGTCCTTACCCTTCTGGCCTGATGATTTGGTGAATTTTCAATCTGGGTATCCTTGCCATCTGAAGCTCTTCTCTTTTCTTCTCCTTCTCAACAGTTCTGCCTTTTTAGGCCTTTGCCTTCTCGCCACAACAATCAGTCATGACTGAGTCATGACTGAATCCTTGGTAAGTTCTTACTTGCTTCTCCCAGTTACCCTCTGTCCTTATTATATAGAAGCAATATTGTATGGTGGTAAAGACTATAGAATCTGCAGCTAAATTGCTTTTACCAGTTTTAGGAGCTTACCAAAGCTCTCTGTGCCCTGGTTTCCTTAACTGTAAAATGGGAATGGTTAGGATGATAATGATAGTAATACTTACCTTGTATGGTGATTGTGAATGTCAATTGGTTTAATGTATGTTTAGAACAATGCCTTGATGCATATATAATAAACCTTATATATGAGTATATGAATTAGTGTATTATTATTTATTCTATAAAGTGGATATGTATAAACACAAAGTTTAAGGATATATAACAAGACCAGCATAAGTATGAAATATGTATCTGTGTGTGTGTATCATAGGATTTTATATATTTATGTTAAGGTACAGTTACTTTTCTGAGCTTTCTGTAAGGCACAACATAAAGGGAACAAAACATATTCACTTGTTTTATCTAACCTTACAAGACAGTAAGCCACTTGCATAGATGCTTAGATTTCCTAATATTGATCAGTCTTCTGATGGGTCCCTTCAAGTCCCTGTTAGAAAACTTATGATAAACACAGGGTTAATATTGCTCTGTTGTGACTTAAATTATCTTCCTGTCAACCAAAACTCTCTTGCTGAAGCAAAACTAAAAGGGATGTGATTGTTCAGGAAAGCCAAGCCAAGCCTACACAAACATGTTCTGGACTACATGTGAATAAAGTCTTGGTGTCCAGGAAGATGATATAAGCCATATGTCCTTCAAATTATTTTCCAGTAGTTTTTTTTATAGTTTTTATTATCTAGATGAAAACCCTGAGAAACCCATAGGATTGTCCTTTTACTTTTAGTCTCAGAGTTCATGACATCCTGACCATTTTACATTCTTTCCCTTCTTCCCTTCTTTTACAAGTCTGTATTGTTTCATCTTCATACAAAAGTGAGATAAGAATGGCACCAGAATTCAAACTTCTCTAATGAGCATAGTCACATGTTTATTATCCCAATCTTCAGGAGGTGGGGGCAGGATGATCAAGAATTTGAAGGTAGCCTGGGTTACCTAGTTAGTTCCAAGCCAACCCAAGCTATATAGCAACTTTCTCAAAAAAATCAAGGATCAATTCAAAACACACAGGCACGCACGCACGCACGCACGCACGCACGCACGCACGCACGCACGCCCACCCAGAAAGATAAAGGGTGTAGCAAGTGGTAGTTTGTCTAGCATTCAGTGGGCCTTGGATTCAATCCAGGAAATAAACTCTCGAAGTGTAAAAGAGGAAACTAGGGCGTGTATGTAGTTCATTTGGCAGAGTGCTAACATGGTCAAGAAGCCCTTTGTTCTACTCCCAGGAAAACAATAATACTAAATAAAATAAAAAAGGAAAAAGTATCTCATGATATCATATCACCAATCATTGCAGATCATTTGAAGTTGGTTAACTTCTGCCCTCTCTGCCTTGTTCTTTCTTTCTATATGTACATATATTTTGAAACATAATAGTTAATATGCATTCCTCTTGTTAAAATTTACTCATTAAATAAAACTTTTGCAACTCTTTGTCTTCCCTTTACATTGTAATATTGGTCATAGCAGTACAAAGTGAGCATCCCTAATCTGAAAATCTAAATTCCCCAAAGCTGCAAAATATGCAGCTTTGTGCTTTGTGGACATGATACCTCAAGTGGAAAATTCCACAACTGACCTTATGTGATGATGGGTCATGTACAAAATGCAAACATACTGAAAGTATTTTACAAAGTTACCTTAAACGGTATATATATGAACAAATGAATTTCATGTGTACATTTGGCTCTCATCCCTAAAATATCTTATGTGAAGATATACAAATATTCAAAAAAATCCCAAATCTAAACTACTTCTTTGTCTCAAGCATTTTAGATAAGGACTACTCAATCTGTAGTAGTAATGATGATGACAAAACACATGGTGGTGCTAATGGTAATAGGAGTGGCAGCAAGTGAGCTTATACTATGCATAGCTCTATACTAAAAAATACTTTATATGCATAGGCAATTTTAATACTCATAATAACACTGTGAAATAGATACAATTATCATTCACATCTTCCAGGTGAGGAACAGAGTGGATAAGCAAGTGATCACTGGCACAGCTGGGATAAAATATAAGATAGTTTTTTACAGATGTTTCAGTATCAGGGACACAGAAGGTTTTTGTTGTGTTTTTTAGCATCAGCGCAGAGGAAGGAACCCCAGGCCTCCTACGTGCTAAATAAGTTCTCTACCGCTGAACTGCACATCTAGCTAGTTGAGATTTTATTTTGTTTTCTTCAATTTTTTTGTTTTAGTTTTGAGATAGGGTTTCACACATGTAGCCCGGGCTAGCCTTGAACTTGGGATTCTCCTGCCTCAGCCTCCTGAGTGCTAAGATTATAGGGATATGCCACCAAAGCTGGTTCACATAGGAATATTTTAAACAGCTATATTTTCCTCTTGTATTCATACACCATGATTATTGATGAACATCATGTTGAAGGACCTCTGTGTGGTGATCTCTTGTCATCTTTGTTTTCAGAGATGAGCATTTCTAAAGTGTTTGCTTTAAAAGGTGGGTGTGTTGTGAACTTGCTTAGATATCATCAAACTGCATTTTGAAATATTAATACAAGTTGACAGCTTCTCTAATAATAAGTGAAAAGACCCTTGTGAATCCTTTTGTCATAATTTTAAGATTTGCAATGTGATAGTTGGAAATATCTTATGTTTTAGTTTGTGTTTATCAATATGGTTGAACAACTTTATGTTTTCCTCTTTTTATATTACTTTTGTGAATTCTTTTTCAAATACTGTTTTCTTTTTCCACTGGGAGTTTAAAATCCTTGTCTTTCTATTTTTAAACGTTTTGTGGAAATATAACTTAGACAAAAAAATCTTATGTAGATTTATTGAAATATAACATAAGTAGAAAAACATATAAAGTATACAGTTTTATGAACTTCTACAGATTGAAAACACTTATGTAAGCAATACTTGGATCAAAAAAGAGGAGGAAATGACATGCCTTCCAGAAGCTTCCATGCCATTTCCAATCATTAGCTCTTGATTTAAAATAACCACTTTCTAATTTCTATCATCATAATTTACTTTTTCTCTTCTTGAATTTCACATAAATAGAAATATACATATTATTCTTTTGGATCTGACTGCTTTCACTTGTCATGATTTTTTTGTGATGCTGGGAATGGAATCCAGGGCCTCACAATGTTAGGTAAGCACTTTTCCACTGAGCTATATCTCCAGCCCATCATGTTTTATATTTACATCCTTGTTACTTTAGGCATAAATAAAATTTGTTCTATTTCTGTTATTATATACCATTCTATTGTGTAAGTAGTTCACAATTACTCTTCAAATCCACTGATGATGGATGTTTCCATTTTGGCTATTATAAACAATATTTCTGGGAATGTTTTTGTTTATGTATTGGTGAACCTGTGTGCATATTTCCATTAGATATATACCGAAGAATGAGGTTACAATTTCGTAAGTTAGAAGTATTTTCAGTTTTAGCAATTCTACCAAGCCGTTTTCCAAAGTGTCTGTACCATTTTACTACTACCAGCAAAGTATGAAAATTTGTGTTGCTTCACATCACTGCCAACATTTAGGTTGTTAGTTTTAATTTTAGCTGTTCTGTTGGAAAATACTAGTATTAGTATCTCAGTGTGGCTTAAGTGTGTGTTTCTCTGATGACTAATGATGTTAAGCGTCTTTTTGTATGTTTATTCACCATTTGGATATTGTCTTTTGTGAAATACCTATTAAATATTTTTCTTTTTTCTACTGGATTATCAATATTTATCTCATTACTTCTTAATAGTTTCCATAGTACAAGAGTCCTTTGCTTTGATTAGATATTGCAAATCTTGAAGAAGGCTGTTGCAGTGCTGAGGATGGAGCTTGGGGCCTGTGCATGCTGGTCAAGTATTCTACCACTGAGCTACACCCCTAGTCCCTAAGAAGGATTTTTAAAATGGTAAAGCAATAGCTTCTCCTTGAAGAATATTTTATTTATCATAAAGAACATTATCACTTCAATTAGCCTAGTCTAATCTCTCTCTCTCTCTCTCTCTCTCTCTCTCTCTCTCTCTCTCTCTCTCTCTCTCTCTCTTTTCCTGCCCCCTCTCTGTCACACATTATAATCCATAAATATGTACAATTTCAATGTGTCAATTTTTAAAAGAATATTAAAACAAATATTTACTAACATTTTGAGAGAAATAGTATCACTTTAATTTTTACCAAACTAATTGAATAAAAGTATGCAATTGCAGGGATCAGTGTCATTCGAGGATGTGTCTGTGGACTTCACCCAGGAAGAGTGGAATCAACTGGACCCTATTCAGAGGAGCCTATACAGAGATGTGATGCTAGAGAATTATAGCCATCTTGTCTCTTTGGGTGAGGATGGCTTGTTGAGTAATTCATGGTGTCCTCAATTTTGTAATTTTCTGTCTCTAAAGTATTCTAATACTCTGGGTTCTAGAGATTAAATTTTGTATTTCCTCTTAAACAAGATGATAATTGCCTATGTGAAACATACCTTTACTAAAACACACCTTACTAATTTTTTAACTGAATATCACAGAGTAGCCAAGTCTTGTATGATTTCCCACTACAGGGTATCCTATTACCAAACCAGATGTGATCACCTCTTTGGAGCAAGGAGTCCTTGGCATCATAAAGAGAGAAATCCCAAGTTCAAGTTGCACAGGTAAGAAGGGAGAATTGGAAGATGGTGAGAGCAAGACCTTAGATGCTCTGGTAAAGGTTTTACATTTTTAAAATCTCAAAAGTATCTTCTTAAATGTTATATATACTCTTACTGCTCATTCCAAATTGTTTAGTAGGTTTCTCTCATAGTAACCTTTGAATGAGCTGTTAAGAAACTGGACCCTATTTTGGCTTATTCATTCTGTTTCTTTTTTCATTCATTTCAATCATTTCTAGCCTTTCTTAAAAGATATTTGCATTCTGGGTGTCCCTGACCCCAATTGTGGGTTTACTGTCTTCCCAGTATCCTTTTTCCAAGTGGCTCTCTGAACTGTTTTTAGTTTCTCCAGTTTTAAGCTAACAATTATATCACTTATATTTATTGTTATTTTCCTGGTCCAACATCTTTTGGAGCACCATGGGTTTTGTTTCATCAAGCTCTGAGTGTAAGAGAGATACATGCTTGGAATCTCTTTCTGAGCAGTACATGGACATAGAAGAAATTAAAGAACAACACTATCAGAAGCCTGCTTCTGACTAGGTGTTTTTACAGAGTCTGGTTTATTCTTCTTCTTTTTAGAAGATGGGCAAACTGAAGACTACCTGGAGTGGCATCAGGAAAACCAAAATATACACCCGGAGCAGTCTGTATCCATTTTTGAGAAAAATGTGACTGAAAGAAGTTGTGAATATGATGAATTTGTAAGCCCACTTCCTCAGAACACATGGGTAGTTACTTCAGGACCCACACCCTATATGAATAACTCATTTGGGGAAAGTATTAAAGATAATTTAGGTTTACTCAATCCTAGTAGTTTGAGCTTTGCAGCTCAGGAATGTTATGAATGTAATAGATGTAGGAAATTATTAATTCCTGGCAGACATGAGATAAATGATGGAATGAAATCCCATGACCATAATATGTATGGTAAAGATTATATTTATAACTTTGTTCAACATGACTTGACTCAACTTGGAGACAGAAGCTATGAATGTCCTGAGTGTAGAATAACCCTCAGCCCAAGTTCATTCCTTATTGTTCATCGGATCACTCACATAGGAGAAAAGCCTTATGAATGGGCAGGATGCAGAGAGGCATTCAACAACACAGCACAGCTCAGTCTACATCAAACAATGCACACAGGAGACAAACTCTTTGGGTGTAGTGAGTGTGGTAAATCCTTCAGAGAGGAATCAACACTGCATATACATCAAAGAACACATACAGGTGAAAAACCATATGTATGCACTGAATGTGGCAGTGCATTCCAAGAAAAAACAAATCTCATCATACATCGGAGAACTCACAAAGGAGAAAAACCCTATAAATGTACAGATTGTGAGAAAACCTTCAACCAAAAGGCACATCTAAATGTACATCAGAGAACACACACAGGAGAGAAACCTTTTGAATGTACTGATTGTGGCAAGTACTTCAGAGAGAAATCAACACTGAATATACATCAAAGAACCCATACAGGAGAGAAACCATATGTATGCAATGAGTGTGGCAAAGCCTTCAGAGAAAAGACAAAACTCATTATACATCAGAGAACTCACACAGGAGAGAAACCCTATGAATGTTCAGAATGTGGGAGAGCCTTCAACCAAAAGGCACACCTCAGTGTACATCAGAGAACACACACAGGAGAGAAACCTTTTGAATGCAATGAATGTGGCAAAGCTTTCAGAGAAAAATCAACACTGCGTAGACATCAAAGAATTCATACAGGAGAAAAACCTTATGTGTGTTCAGAATGTGGAAGAGCCTTTACCCTTAAGCTGAGCCTCAGTGCTCATCAGAGAATTCATACAGGGGAAAAAACAGATGGGTGTACAGTATGTGGAAAAGTCTTCTCCCGAAAATCATACCTCATGTTACATCAGAGAGCTCATACAAGAGAAAAATTTGAAAAATCCTATGAATGCAATGAATGTGATAAAGCATTCTTCCAGAAATCATATCTCATTATTCATCAAAGAGTCCACACAGGGGAAAAACCCTATGAGTGTAATATATGTGAGAAATCTTTCTCCCAAAAGTCATATCTCATTATTCATCAAAGAACCCATACAGGAGAGAAACCCTATCAATGTGATAAGTGTAGCAGAGCCTTTAGAGAAAAGTCCAAACTCACTGTGCATCAGAGAAATCACACAGGAGAGAAACCCTATAACTGCTCTGAATTGGAAAGAAACTTTCCAGATGTCAAAGTTCATCATGGATTAGAGAATGTAGAGATAAGAGAAAATGAATTGAAAATGGAAAATCTGACATAGTAAAATCAAACAAAATGAAACTGTAAATGGTGTTGGGGAAGTGCTGTATGTAAATAGGGTGCTTTGCTGAGGATATGTCAGTTGAGCTAAAAATTCAGCACCATCCATATTGGGAGAAGATCATTCTGGGTAAAAGGAATAGAAAGATCCTCTTTCTTAAAGCAAAATACTTGGTCTTTGTACTTTTGCATTATGGACCTATTGAATGAATGATCATTTTCCATCAAAGAGGTTGCTCAATGCTGAAATCATTAGAATGTATGAAAGCTGTCAGATGGAAGACAAACCTGATCATAAATATGGGCATAAGTATCAAAGAAATTCAATTAATTAATTTCAATAAGTGTATTTCCTCAGAAGTGAAGAGAAATATATATGTTTCCAAATTTAATATCGAACTCTCATAGAAAAAAGAAACAAAAAACTTATTAGAAAAAGTGGTTTACCAAACAATTTTAAGTTAAAGATTTAAATATAACCATTAAAGGGGCAACGAATAAAATATTTTAAAATTCCAAAGTATTATAATAGTCAGAACAATGTAAAGAAGATACCACTAGTGTATCAAATTCCAGTTTTAACAGGTGATAATGCCAAGTTTCCACCCCAGCCTGATCTAAGCTTCCAAGAAGGACTATAAGCTGCCTAATAGGCTTTAAAAGACCTGTTTTTTACACAGATTCATCAGTTTACTTCTTCTGCTTTTGATGAATGCCTTTTGATGAATTCAGAATTCTGTCAACAGCCAGCATGGTGACAACCTTTAAGGACCTCCATGGAGATGTGAAATTGTGTTATCTATACTGATTGGGGCAAAATATAGGGGAATTCCAATTGACATTAAGGAAGGGATCTTGAACTCTCCTTGCCATGCAGTGACAGCTAGCATGTTTTTAATGATCATTCCTGCTTATTTTTGATGAACACTGAAAGCAAGGCTTTGCATTGTTGAGTAGCCACCCCCCATGACCATGGACTACAAAGGACATGAACAACTACTTCGTGAGAATAGCTAATTCCAGTGGGACTGCCCAGGGAAATGAGAGCAAGTGGCAAGTTCTTAGTAGCTTTGTTCAAGACACAAACTGAAACCCAGGCATTCTGTAAAAAGAAATTGCTTTGTGCATCCATTGAATTCTTTGCCTAAATTCCAAGCCTGTCATTTGCAACTTTGGATTTTGATTATGAAAGAGGTAATAGGATGTTGGGACTTAGAATGGTAGTATGTGGAAATATGTGGGAAAATGTGAATATTTTAAATTCTCAGTACTCACAGTGTAAGCTATATTTAATTTTATTATCCCCTGAAGATACTGTAAGTGTCTTAAATAAAGACCCTGTAGTGACCTCATCTGAAAATGATGCTTTTTAAGGTAAGACATCTTTCATATCCTTACACCCAACCCCTCTATCCAAATCTGTAACTGACTTTTTCTTGAGATAGAGTCTCACTATGTAGGCCATGCTGGCCCTATGCTTGTGATCTTCCTGCCTTTGCCACTTAAGTACTGGTATTACAAGCATGTACTACCACATGCAGATCTTTAATAGATTTTTTTTATCCAAGCACTATATGTGTTTTCCAAACTTCAGTTCATTAAATCTTCCAAATAAACCCCAGGAGTTATTTCTCTCATTATCATCCTCATTTTTCAGATTTGGAAACAGACAGAGAAAAATTCAGTAACTTTTTAAAGGAAGCACAACCAGTAAGTGGTAGATACGATATTTAAACCAAAGAAAATCTATGCTCTTGATTACTATACCATCCTCCCCAACCCTGAAGTGATCTTGTATCTCCAGATTAGATCTATAAAGCTATGGAGGAAAGGGTTGAATGGGAGTACTTTCAGACACTAAAAAACATGAAGAAAATCAAAACATCTGACAGGTAGTAGATCTTGCATTAGTTATAGATGCCATTTTTTATTAAACCCACAAAAGAAAAAATGGAATCTCTATACTTATGAAATCTGAGTCACCAATCAGTATTGCTTGAGTCAGTTTTCAGATGCACATCACACCCCTTGAGCCATTCAGATAAATCATGACCAGCACAGTGCCGGCTCCAAGAATCCCTGGGAAATAAAAGGAGGAATGGAAAATAAAGTGGACGAGTTGATGGAGCAGTAACATCATTATTTGTGGCTGTCCATGATCCAGACCTTCCCTATGAACTTACCAGGCATTCATACTCTTATGTAAGGATACAACGTGCTTGGCACATGCGATGTCATCAATGATATGGTTGTTGAGCAGGTCTGGTGGAGGGAGAGAAGGATGGGATGATCTGGTGCACTAAGGATGCAATGAAATGTTTGAAGGCCCTAAGGTTTCTGAATTCCTTAGAGCCTAAATAACCTTAGCTATGATGTTGGCCAATTGTAAGTTACTTTCATTCTTTGCTAAGTAGTCATAAACTGTTTCACCTGCCATGTTGACTGGTGTTATACAATCTTAACTCATTATGAATGATCCTCTTTGACTTTGACTATCATGTTGGCTGGTTATGAATAACCCCAACCACCACAATGAGGCCCTGGACACCCTCCAACTCCACATTGGCCAACTCTGAATGACATCAACTGTTATCATGTCTCAGGTTGAATGATGTCAACTATAATGTTGGCTGGTCTGGCTTTGCCTCTACTACCATGTGGCTAATTAGGAATCACTTTCTTTCTATATTGGTCATTCCTGATGACTTCAGACCCTATGTGGTTAGGTCCTTGATAAGTTAAACGCCTATCTGACTGTTATAAATGAATTCAGTCAAGGCCGAAGAGATAGTGCAGCAGTTAGGAGTACTTGCTTCTCTTGAAAAAGACCCAGGTTTAATTCCTAGAACCCACATGGCAGCTCACAATTCCAGGGGATCTGACCCCTTTTTCTGACCCATCTACAAGCACCAGGCATGGACATAGTGCATATATATGCATGCCCATAAAACATTCATACACATAAAATGTGAATAAATAAATATTTTTTTAAAAAAAATGATCTTAATCTTCATACTGGCTGGCTACATTCAGTTTTACCCATCATAGTGCATAGTTCTCCATAATCTGAACTGCCATGTTGGCTAGGCCAGGATAACATTTATTTACAATTTGCCTAATGATTTCAACCACCGTTTCGACTAGCCCTGGAAAATCTTTATTACTTATATGTATGTGGGTGTATGCCACAAGTGTCAGGGTGCTCATGGGGGCTGGAAGAGGGTATCAGATCCCCATTAGTGCTGGGACCTAAACTTGGGTCCTTTGGAAGAGCATCAAGTAGTCTTAAACACGGAGCTATCTCTCTATCTCCCTAGATAGTCTTAACTACAAATGTGACTAGTTATAATTTTGTCCTCCATTTTAGCTAATCCTAAATGACCTTAATGGTCGTGTTGTCCCAAACTGAACAACTTTAATCTTCATTTTATCTACTCATTTAAAAGCTCATTATTCACTTGCCCTGTCTAAGACCATCTGAGATTCTGGACAACCTCAACCTTCAGTCTTGCCAATCTTTTGTGACCTTCTCTGTCATGTTCACAAGATTTAGATGGCCTCAACCTCCACTTGATCTGGCCTTAGATAACCATAGTCTCCATTTTGGCCTATTGTAGATAACCTCAGCCATCAGTTTGGTCAACCTTAAGAGAAATTTCAATTGCTATTATATTTTTTCCTCAACAATACCACATTTTTGTCTGGAAAGTTCTCTCATTTCTTTCCCAGGGTGGTTTGGTTTTGTTCTTACTTCCATACTAATGCTTCTTTCCTCAGGACCTAGATAGTCTTCATTCCAAAGCAGGATATTCTTCCCCTCTATTTCACATGGAGCAAAGTTTTCTGTTCCCCAAATATCAAGAAAATTTCAGCTCGCATTTTAAGTGAGGTTGGGGAGGTGGTGGATATTTGCACTATTTCTGACCTAACAACTTCTTGGTATAGAGTGGTTAAGGATTCGGGAAGCTTTCTCTATCAACCTAGAGACTTTCTTCCTTTCCCATTATTTTTCTGCCTCAGCAAGAGATTAATATTTAAAAGACATTCCAGCCAGATGTGATGGCGCATGCCTTTAATCCTAGCATTCAGGAAGCAGAGGCAGGAGAATCTCTGAGTTTAAGGCCAGCCTGGAGAGAGAGCCAATGTCAAAAATAAACAAACAAACAAAAAACAACAACAAAAGACATTGCTTTCTGTGTATGACATGGGGACCAGACAGGGCTTCTGTGTGTCCCCAGGGATGCCTTACCATTACAATTCATGTGACAGAGGTTCTGGGTAGATGTGACACCATTGTTACACCACCAGGCAGAGTTCAGCTGGAAAATGCCATATTCACTGCTGCCATCTGGATTGCGGTCCACAAAGGAGGTATCAAAGCCACTTTCATAGTGTGCCATGCACAGCCCTGGGACAGACAAAGGGTAGTTAGGAGGTGGGCATACACATAAGAATAAGGAAGGCTAAGAGAAGAAGGGAGAATACAGATATGATTGTCATCTTAAGTTGTGAAGCTGGTTGTCTTGGATTGGTTGTGGATTGTTGATTCTGCTGACCTATCATTGATGCTGGTAGTGAATGGTAATAATTGTGATGATATTGATGGTAATGATGATGTTAATGATAGAGACAAAGATTGTGAAGACAGTGATGATGATGACTTTACAGTTGAATTAAACTAGTCATCATAATCAGGTGGTGACTGAAAAGATTGTGTCCTGGCCCAAAAAGATGAAAAATTACAAAAGAGGCCTGGGTCTGAGTGAGGTAGGTGAATTGGGGTATGGATAAGACTTGGGGCAACAGGAATCTTACAGTCTCCCACAGTGTAGCCTCTGAAGCCATTGAGGCCAGCCTTCTCCAGCTTTCTTGCCAGCTCACAGCGTTCATAAATCTTGGCATCCACAGTGGCAACCATCAGGGTGGCCAGGGTCACTACAACAGTGCCCCAGGCCTGCATGACACCCAAAAGCCGTTCTATCTGATTCCTTGCCTCAGACTCATCCTGTGATCATCAAAAATAGGGACATTCTGGAACTCTGGGCTCTGTGAGCATCAGTCTGAACTATAGATTCTGGAACACAGAAGCTAGAGGGCTGGGGACTGTACCACTTTCCCTAATGTAAACTCTCTTAGAGAGTGGAAGATACAAGAGAAAGAAAAACATTAACATATACACAAAAATGAAGGGAGATGAAGACAGGGAGAAACTCAGAAATATCAGAAAGATACAGGAAGAGAAGGATTGGGTATACACAAAAGATGTACAGAACTTGGATACTTGCCCTCACAGTAGGCCCACATTTCTCTACATTCTTTAATACTGTCCTACCTTGTCCTAGGCTTGCTAATTCTAATTTGCTACATGACTACCTCCTTTTCTACTCACTCTGATGCTTGGTGCCTCTGTTACCCCCTCTGCTGAGTAGTCAGTTCTGTCTTCTACACTGTGTTTACTGTCACCCCTAATTCCTTATGCTCTGCAGAACATGACCATCATGCCCTCACTCTACCCCTCATTACCTTTATTTACTCATAGTCCTGATCTGTTTATACTGCTATAGCAGAATACCCAAGACTATGTAATTCATTAAGAACAAAAATACATTTCCGCATAGTTTTGGAGGCCAATAAGTCCAAAATTACAGTGATGGCATCTGATGAGTGCTTTCTTGCCTTATTCTCACATGGTAGAAAGCAAAAGAACAAGAGGGTGAACCCATTTCTGCTTTTGGTAGTTGTCTTAGGTTTACTAATACTGTGATGAAACATCATGACCAAAACAAGTTGGGAAGGAATGGGTTTATTTCAATGACAGTTTCATTTAACAGTTCATCATCAAAAGCACTTAGGGCAGGAACTCAAACAGGGCAGGAGCCTGGAGGCAGGAGATGATACAGAGGCCATGGAACAGCACTGCTTACTGACTTGCTTCCATAGCCTGTTCAGCTTGCTTTCATATAGAATCCAGGACCACCATCCCAGAGATGGTACCACCCACAATGGGCTGGGCCTCCCCCATCAATCACTGATTAAGAAAATGCCTTACAGGCTTATAGACTGCTTATAAGTCCAATCTAATGGAGGCAAATTTTTTTAATTAATAAAAATAATTTATTAAAACCTTATATTCAGTAAATATATTTTATTTAATTTTTTCCATTTCATATAACAGCCACTGTTCCCCTCCCTACCCTTCTCCCGTTCCCCCCACCTCCCCTCACCCCACCTCACCCTCATTCACTCCGCATAGAGGGTAAAGCCTCCCTTGGGTAGTCAACACAGGCTGGCATACCAAGTTGTGGCAGGACTAAGCCCCTCCCCACTACATCAAGGATGGGTAAGGCATCCTACCATAGGGAATGGACTCAAAAAAGCCAGTCCATGTATCCAGGATAGGTCCTGGTCCCATTGCCAGGGGCCCCACAAACAGATCAAGCCACACAACTGTCACCCACATTCAGAGGGGGCTAGTTCAGTGTCATCCAGGCTCCCCAGCTGTCAGTCCAGAGTCCCTGAGCTCCCACTAGCTCAGGTCAGCTGTCTCTGTGGTTTTTCCCATCATGATCTTGACCTCCCCTTGCTCTTATAGTCCCTCCTCCCTCTCTTAAAATGAACTCCAGGATCTTGGCCAAGTGCTTGGCTGTGGGTCTCTGCATTTCCTTTCATCAGTCACTGAATGTAGGTTCTGTGATTACAATTAGGGTTGTCACCAATCTGAGTATGGGGAAGGCTAGTTCAGGCACCCTCTCCACCATTGCTAGGAGTCTTAGGTGGGAACATTCTTGTGGGTTCCTGGGGATTTCCCTGGAACCAGGTTTCTCCCCATACTGGCTCACTCTGTCGAGATATCTATTTCATTGCTCTCCCACTCTGTTCATCCCCCAAATGTTGCCATCTTGATCCCACCCCCATCTCCTCCCTCTCCCAGTTTACCCAGGAGATCTTAACCTTTTCCCCTTTCTGGGGTGATCCATGAATGTTTCTCTTGGATACTCTTTACCTAGCTTCTCTGGGGTTGTGGATTGCAGCCTGGTTATCCTTCACTTTGTGTCTAATAGCCATTTATAAATGAGTGCATACTGTGTTTGTCCTTCTGAGTCTGAGTCACCTCACTTGGATGATTTTTTAAATTCCATCCATCTGCCTCCAGATTCCATTATGTCATTGTTTTTTTTTTTTTTACCACTGCTTAATATTCCTTTGTGTAGATGTACCATGTTTTCTTTATTCATCTTTGGTTGAGGGGCATCTAGGTTGTTTCCAGGTTCTGGCTATTGCAAATAGGGCTGCTGTGAACATAGTTGAGCAAGTGTCCTTGTGGTGTGGTTGAGCATATTTGGGTATATGTCCAAGAGTGGTATTCATGGGTCTTGAGGTAGATTGATTCCCAATTTTCTGAGAAACTGCCGTACGGATTTCCAAAGTGGCTGTACAAGATTAGACTCCCACCAGGAGTGAAGGAATGTTCCCCTTTCTCCACATCCTCTCCAACATAAGCTGTCATCAGTGTTTTTGATCTTAGTCTTTCTGATCCATGTAAGATGGTATCTCAGAGTCATTTTGATCTTCATTTTGGTGATGGCTAAGAATGTTGAACATATTTAGATCTGCACCCAATTTTTAATTGGATTTTATGATACTTTGATGTCTAGTGTCTTGATTTCTTTATATATTTTGGAGATCAGCCCTCTGTCAAATGTGAGATTGGTAAAAATCATTTTACATTCTGTAGGCTGCCATTTTGTCTTCTTTACCATGTCCTTTGCCTTACAGAAGCTTCTCAGTTTCAGGAGGTCCCATTTATTAATTGTTGCTCTCAGTGCCTGTGCTACTGGTGTTATATTTAGGAAGTGATCTCCTGTGCCAATGCATTAGAGGCCATTTTCACTTTCTCTTCTATCAGGTTCAGAGTAACTGGATTTATGTTGAGGTCTTTGATTCACTCGTACTTGAGTTTTGTGCATGGTGATAGATATGGATCTATTTGCAGTCTTCTACATGTTGACATCCAGTGATGCCAGCACCATTTGTTGAAGATGCTTTCTTTTTTCCATTGTACAATTTTAGCATGTCAAAAATCAGGTGTTCCTAGGTGTGTAAATTAATGTTAGAGTCTTCAATTTGATTCCATTGATCCACGTGTCTGTTTTTATGCCAATACCAAGCTGTTTTTATTACTATAGCTCTATAGTAGACTTGAAGTCAGGGATGGTGATGCCTCCAGAAGTTCCTTTATTATATAGGATTGTTTTGGCACTCTCTATCTTTTGGTTAATTTGGATAAGGATTTGTCTATCTTGTTTATTTTCTTGAAGAACCAACTCTTTGTTTCATTGATTCTTTGTCTTGTTCTCTTTGCTTCTATTTTATTGATCAGCCCTCAATTTAATTATTTCCTGTCATCTACTCCTCCTGGGTGAGTTTGTTTCTTTTTGTTCTAGAGCTTTCAGGTGTGTTATTAAGTTGTTAGTGTGAGATTTCTCCATTTTCTTTATGTGGGAATTTAGTGCTATGAATTTCCCTCTTATCACTGCTTTCAATGTGTCCCATAAGTTTGGATATGTTGTAGATTCATTTTCATTGAATTCTAGGAAGTCTTTAATTTCTTTCTTTATTTCTTTCTTGACCCAGTGATGATTCAGTTGATAGTTGTTCAGTTTCCATGAGTTTGTAGACTTTCTGCAATTTATGTTGTTGTTGAATTCTAACTTTAACCCATGGTGATCCAATAAGGTACAGGGGGTCATTCCAATTTTTTTTTATCTGTTGAGATTTGCTTTGTTACCGAATATGTGGTCAATTTTGGAGAAGGTTCCATGAGGTGCTGAGAAGAAAATGCATTATTTTGTGTTTGAGTGAAATGTTCTATAGATGTCTGTTAAGTCCATTTGAGTCATAGCTTCTGTTAGTTCCCTTATTTCTCTGTTAAGTTTCTGTTTGGCAGACCTGTCCAGTAATGAGAGTGGGGTTTTGAAGTCTCCCACTATTAGTGTGTAGGGTTTGATGTGCAATTTAAGCTTTAGTAATGTTTCTTTTATGTATATGGGTGCCCTTGTGTTTGGGGCATAGATGTTCAAAATTGAGACTTCATCTTGATGGATTTTCCTGTGATGAATATGAAATGTCCTTCTCCATCTTTTGATTAATTTCAGTTTGAAGTCTATTTTGTTAGATATTAGGATAGCTACACCATCTTGCTTCTTAGGTCCATTTGATTGGAAAATCTTTTCCCAATCCTTTACTCTAAGGTAATGTCTGTCTTTGAAGTTGAGGTGTCTTTCTTGTATGCAGCAGAAAGATGGATCCTATTTTCATACCCATTCTGTTAGCCTGTGTCTTTTTATAGATGAATTGAGTCCACTGATATTAAGAGGTATTAATGACCATTGTTTGTTAATTCCTGTTATTTTTTGGTTTGGGTGATGGTGGGGGTAGTGTGTGTGTGTGTGTGTGTGTGTGTGTGTGTGTGTGTGTGTGTGTGTTTCCCTTCTTTGGGATTTGCTGGTGTGAAATTATCTATTGTCTGTGTTTTTGTGGGTGCAGCTAACTTCTTTGGGTTGGAGTTTTTCTTCTAGTACTTTCTGTAGGGCTGGATTTGTGGATATGTATTGTTTAAATCTGGTTTTGTTGTGGAATATCTTGTTTTATACATTTATGGTGATTCAGTGCTTTGCTGGATATAGTAGTCTAGGCTGGCATCCGTGGTCTCTTAGTGTCTGCAGAATGTCTGCCCAGGACCTTCTGACTTTCAGAGTTTCCATTGAGAAGTTTGGTGTAATTCTGATAGGTCTGCCTTTTTCCTTTGCAGCTCTTAATAATATTTCTTTATTTTGTATGTTTAGTGTTTTGATTATTATGTAGTGAGGAAACTTTTATTTTTGGTCCAGTCTATTTGGTGTTCTGTAAGCTTCTTGTACCTTCATAGGCATGTTCTTCTTTAGGTTGGGAAAGTTTTCTTCTATGATATTGTTGAATGTATTTTCTTTGCCTTGAGCTGGAATTCTCCTTCTATCCCTATTATTCTTAGATTTGGTCTTTTCATGGTGTCCCAGATTTCCTGGATGTTTTATGTTAAAAATTGGTTGGATTTAACATTTTCTTTGACTGATGAATCTACTTCCTGTATTGTATCCTCAATACCTGAGATTCTCTCTTCCATCTCTTATATTCTTTTGGTTATGCTTGCCTCTGTAGTTCCTGTTTACTCAGATTTTCCTTTTCCAGAATTCCCTCTATTTTAATTTTCAAGTTTTGCATTGTTTCCTTTATCTGTTTGATTTCTTTTTTTTTCTTGGGCTCTTGGCTTTCTTTAAGGGATTTATTGATTCCTTCCCACTTTTTTTTGGTCTTTTCCTCCACTTCTTTAAGGGAATTTTTCATTTCCTCTTTAGGGGCCTCTATCATCTTCATAAAGTTATTTTTAAGGTCGTTTTCTTCTGGTTCATCTGCATTGGGATGTTCAGGTCTTTCTGTTGTAGAACCACTAGTTTCTGGTGGTGCCATATTGATCTTTACGTTGTCAGATGCATTCTTACACTGTGGTCTACCCATTCCTTCCCCCAACCCATGCAGGTGGAGCCTGTGCCTCTGGGAGTCCCTCTTCCTCCAATTGGTACAGGTGGGGCATGTGGCTCAGGTGGTCGATAGTACCGCGGGGGATGGGTGGCAAGGGGGCAGGGGAGGATGCTGCTGCCCGGTCTCTGGGGGTCTTCTTCCCAAGTGGTGCAGGTTGCTCCAGTGGTTGCTGGTCCCTCAGGGGATGGTTGGCAAGGAGGCAGGGGAGGAGGCTGCTGCCAGGACTCCGGGGCTGCAATGGGTGGGGGGAGGGGTATGGTGTGTGCCCCCAGGGTCTAGGGGCTAGAGATCTGGGCTGTACAGCTGGGAGCTCAGGGACTCACCTCTTCTTCCCAATCGGTGCAGGTGGGTCATGGAGGGAATTTCTTAATTGATGCTTCCTCCTCTCAGATGACTTGGACTTGTATCAATTTGACATAAAACTATCCAGCACACTAGTCATATTAATTTATTCATGAAGGTGGAGCCCTCATGGCCTAAACACCTCTCCAAATAGCCAATCATCCAAAGCATTAAGTTCCTGGCACTTGGGGTTTTTTTTTTCAACATTTTATTTATTTATGTGTATGTGAGGGAGGTGGGGAGGGAGAGAAAGAGAAAGAATAAATATGAATATGAATCACTTTATGATATCAGAATACCCATAATCCACTCCACTCCCAAAGGCGCGCCTCTGAACACTGGTACATTGAGGACCAATCTGTTCAACAAGCTTTGTGGGGTTTTAAAATCTGTACCAAACAGTCATTCCTTTACTCTGCCTTATATCCTCCTGCATTCCCTTCATTCTGCTGCTCACTCATCTTCATTCCAACACTTTTTATTTCTCTTTGTGCTCCTTCACTCCAAATTTGGCCTGTACTCATCATTATTAAACACCTCTATCAGTCCCAGGTATCCTATTTACCCTCATTCACATTTTCCAAGAAAAATATTTATGTGCTCAGAAACTTTCCAAAAATTCTGTAGAATAATAAATAAACAAGTAAATTGAGTGGAAGTTATGGATCCAACTTTGGGAACTTGTGACCTTAAGCAATGATCCCAAGCAAGACCTTACTGATCTCTGGAACAGTTTCTTTATCTAACAGATGAGAGCAATGGGTCTATTGTATTGACTATCTGAGGCAGTTCAGTATGTACTTCACACAGGACACATTTGTTCCTGTGCCTGTTGCCAGAACCTGTTCACTGGCTTTCTTGTTCCTTTAAGATATGTTCTTCTCAAAACCAGCTTGCAATTCATTTCTTAATTGAAGTTTTTCTTTTTTATTTTCCCTACAGGCTGTAGCCATGCAGGGATCATAAGTCTACTCATTTTTCTGAATTATTCAGAAAACTGTAACTTTTCCCTTTCTTCTATATCTTTTCCAAGCATGTATTTCCGAACACTTTGGGCTCTTCCCACCCCCAGTGTTTTGGGCTTCCTTATTATTTCTCTAAAGTCTCCCTTCCCACCTTCCCACCTTCCCACCTTCCCACCTTCCCACCTTCCCACCTTCCCACCTTCCCACCTTCCCACCATGTGGCTGCTGGTCTGCCATGTTACTAACCTCCATGCCATCTTAAAATAGCCTTTTCTGGAAAAAAAAAAGTTTATCTGTGTGTGTGTGTGTGTGTGTGTGTGTGTGTGTGTGTGTGTGTGTGTGATGTTTCTTAAATGATGATCAAAATCACTTAGCACCTCCATGTAGGAGATATTGTTCTACATCCTCTACAGTTATCAATACTCATTTGTCACCACCACCATAATGAGGCAGACATTGGTATCCCTATTTTATAGATGAGGAAACAGCACAGAGAAATTAAGAGCTGTGCCCTATGTTACACAGCTGGCTGAAGTGCTTTTGTTCTACCCACATGGAAATCTTGGGTAGGGTGAAAAGACCATTAGAAGCAGTGCTAATTAAAACAATGTGAATGAAAGACGATATCTCAGGTTGGTCCCAGAGTGAATTGGATGGTACTGTCCTGGAAGGGTTCCTGAGAACATTTATATGCATATGGAATATTATATGCATATGGGTATGATGAAGACCCATTTATTTGAACTGTTCTATACTAGCTTATAAGTGTCTTGCTATACTTAGACTTGCTAATAAAAGTGCAAGTTAATAATTTACAAAAAAAGACAAAATTGTGTGTAGATGAGAAGAGTCTCTTCAATCACTATTCTTTGGAAGATTTTGTTTATCTCAGTGTGTGGCAGGAATAGACAGGTGGTGGTGGCAGCAGGTGGTACCCTTTAATGGCATAGTCTTTGTGCAGGAATCTGGTATGTGAACCTTTAGCTCTACAAGTATTTTCACTAATCACAGCCATTTGCTTTAGACATAGCCTTGCCTCTTAGCACCAATCATAGATATTGCACTTTGTGTTTGAACCAACTACAGCCTTGCCTCTTCAGCACCAGTCACAGTAATCCCTTTGCTAGGCCAGTTGAGGAAATGTTCCTTTCAAGTTGTAGGGTGTTTTTGAGTTCTCCAAGTTTTGTGGTAGGAAAAGCTGTGATACAAATGGTCTCAAGCAAGCCTGTTTGAAGTTGCATCACCACCTGCTGCATCTACCCCCTGACTTGGCACCAAACAGAAAGAAAAACAAAATTTGCCAAAGACCAGTGATTGGAAATCTTCTAGCCTGCCCACTATTTCTGTCAGGAGAAAGGGACCACAGCAGCTGGTGGGTAACACCTTAGTGAGGTGTTTTATTTGGGCTATCCTGCACTATTTAAAAAATAGTTTGTTGATACTGAGTACACTGCAAGGGAGCAGTGAAGTTACTTAAGTAAGTGCATGCAGTTTTATATGTAATTTTAAGCTCAGTATACAATGCTAGATTTATTCATCTCTCTTAAGGTTCCCCATGATGTCCAGAATAAAATATCAAACTCCTGTCCCTGGTCGAGAAAGTCCTATACCATGTAGTCAATGCCCACTCCTCCCTATTCCCAAAACAATGACAGACTGCTTTCTCTGGAGAGGGAGATACACTGTCAGCCCACTTAATACACTACCATATTCTTCTCAGTGTATGTTTGTGGCCCCATGTGGTGGTTAATTTTTCAGCTTGTTGTCTGCAGAGACCTATGGTCCTTTATATGCTGGAATGCAAACTCACAGTTCTAGACAATGGATGGAACCAGGGCTTTCCCCTAAACTTCTACTCAAGGAAGGTAAACCATTCGCACCGCTTTGTCTTCTTGTTAATTGCATCTGCAACCCCGTGGCTGCCCTCTGAATTCACGACACAAAATTCTTCCTTGTTAGAACATTTGTCTTAATTGGACACTCCCTTTCTCCTCTCTCTCTCTCCCTCTCTCTCTCTCTCTCTCTCTCTCTCTCTCTCTCTCTCTCTCTCTCTCTCTCTCTCTCTCTCTCTCTCTCTCTCTCTCTCTCTCTCTCACACACACACACACACACACACACACACACACAGGTGCCTGTCGTCTTAGAAATGCTGATCTCTGCGCACACACACAAAGGTGCCTGTCGTCTTAGAAATGCTGATCTCTGCAAAATAAACACCAACTCTGCTAGGGCGCCGGGGGAGGATAGTTGAGACAACGGATGCAGACCATTTTCTTCCGTCAGTTACGTCACCGACGCTGCCTGCTACACTCTGCGCCTGCGTAGGGCCTGCCCGTCTTCGCGGCGCCATGTTAACTATTGGCGGATGCGGTCTCAAGGCATCCCTGAGCATGCGTAGAACAAGCTGCCGTCCCAGATTAAGCGGCAGGGACAGCTAGTAGGACCCAGAAGGAAGTGTTTTTCTGGGCCGTTCTCCTAACGGTCTACTCAACATCCCGCAGAAAATCTGGTTGAGTAAGGTTGAGGGTCTAGCGCCTGGGGTCGCGAGCTGAATGGTGGGGAATTCTAAGGGATGAATGAAGGGAGGTTTGTGAGTGTCATTGATTTGAGAGACTGGGAGGTGGAATGATGGGGGTTTGAGAGAGCAGTTGAATCGGGGTCTGCAGACTTAATAGCGAACAAAGTTATGAAGCTAGTTAGGATTAAGTAAGCCTTATTAAACTTTGGCTTTTACACATTTTCCAGCACAGTGGTCTCCCCTCTTTAGGCGTGCTCCCACGTCTCTGTATGCCAGTGTAACCCTCGCGGGAGTTGCAGGGAAGGGTGCTGGATTGAATCAGTATCTAAAGACTTCTTTGCAGCGCCTGAACTAGAAGGCCCCAGTGAGGTGAGGGAAAAGAAAAAAGCATCTATAGAGCCTTAGCAGGCTTTGGACAGTTTGAGGTCTGAGATGGATAGACAGGCATTAAAGTATGTGAATTGAGGTACCATTCGGCTAATAGGTAGTTTTTAGTGTCTAATAAGTGACATTTGAGTTATAAATTAATTGGAAAATAGAGAGGAAGAAAACAAGGACTAATTTTATCCCTCAAACAAATGTTCATTCTTAGACATACAAGAGCTATGTCTCACTTAATAGTTGATATTTATTTTGTACATTTAAGATATATTCCTGTGGTTTTATAAACCTTTTTCATTTAGAAATTTAATTGGACTTAAGTTATTTTTTCTATAACATTTATTAAACTTTGATTGAGCTTCATGTACCACAAAACATGTAGATAATAAGTTGCACAGTTCCATACATTATTTGAACAACTATGTAGCATTTCATCCTGAAATTTCTACTTATTGTAATATTATAAGTCATATAGATAAGGTTTCTTAAAGTTGGCATTATTAAATTCAGTTCTATGCATCTCAGTGGTAGAGTGCTGGCTTAGCATGCACAAGGCCCTAGGACTAGGTCTATCCTCAGTACTACAAGGAAATATATATATATACATATATATATATATACATATATACATATATGTATATATATGCCTTTTTGCTCAGAGTTCACATAATATAATGAAAATATACAGGCTGTTATTAAAACTTGTGATTGCTGCTGGACATGATGATGAACCCCTTTAATTCTAGCACTCAGGATGCAGAGGCAGGCAGATCTCTGTGAGTTCAAGGCCAGCCAGGGCTATATAAAGAGACCCTGTCATTAAAAATAATAAAGAACCTTATAATTGCCCATACTCTTCCCAAGAGTAGCCTTCTGGCCAGCTCAT